ATCTTCAGATTTTATTTTATTTTTTATTTTTTTAAGATTTTATTTATTTATTTGACAGAGAAAGACACAGCGAGAGAGGGAACACAAACAGGGAGTGGGAGAGGGAGAAGCAGACTCCCTGCCGAGCAGGGAGCCCGATGCGGGACTCGATCCAGGGACTCCAGGATCATGACCTGAGCCGAAGGCAGTCGCTTAACCAACTGAGCCACCCAGGCGCCCGCATCTTCAGATTTTAGATCGGGAGGAACCGGAGATCATCGAGGGTCCTGGACTTGCTTTTGTGGGCGCCCCCAGATAACAATGAAGCCAGTGTCCCTCCTTTGCTCTCCAGCTGCCTGCGGCAACCTATTGCGAACCTCCTGTGCCCAGGACCATGCTAGGCATTGCGAGCCGCGGTTGCATGTAGTCCTCCAAACTGCTGCTAGGAGGGCGAGCCCTGTAGCACCGGCCCCTCCGGCCCCTTACAGAGAAGCCCGGCCCCCGTTTCTGGAGCCGGACTGCCCTCCCCCACCCCGAGTCTTAGAACAGTGCATGGCTGGCCTTGGAAGCTGGCTCCCGGGGCTGCCCACGGCCAGTGGGCCTCAACCCCTTGTTCTGGCCCCAGCTGCTCCCCTCCAGCTTCCTGCGGTCACTGCTGTGACAGCCTCCTAGCTGGCTCGCTCACCGCCCCACCTGAACCCTGCGGAATAAAATCCAAAGCGTTCACCTACCGGCAAAGCTAAGCCCCAGCCCTGACCCACTTGAGCCTCTCCTACCTCTCCGCACCTTCCCCTTGCACGTTTTCCTTCCCAAGCCTTCCCCTGTCCTTGAACTCCCGGGCTGGCTCGTTCGTTCAGGGCGAATTGTGCGTCGGGCTGTGTTTTCGCTGCGAAGGGACCTTGCATTACACCTGGCAGGGCGGGCCCCGGGGACGCTTGCGCCTAGCTGCGGGTGACCTGGCTCGAGACCCCGTGAGTCTCCGGCCCCGGCGGGGGCTCCAGCCTGGCCTCCCACGCCTCGCCGTGACGAAGTCCTCGCCTGGGCCCTGCCGTCCCGGGGCCGCGCGGGGCCTGAGCGCTCCGCGGTGGTGCGGCTCCGGCCCCGGCCCCGGCCCCGCCCGCAGCGGCGGGTGCGCCTCCACCTCCGGCCGCGGGGGGCGCTGCGCCCGGCCGCTCTCGCGCCGCGCGGGGGGGGCAGGTGCGCGCGCGCGCGGTCGGCCGCCGCGACCCCCGGAAAGCCGGCCCTCTTGGGGACGCCGGGCGACTTCCGGGGCCCGCTGGGGCGGGGACGCTGAGGGGCCCCTCTGGCGCGGCCTCGCCTGCCGCTGAGCTTGCCGGGGGCCGGAGCACGGCTGGCGGGAGGGGCGCAGACCCGCGCGCGGATGACCTTGGGTCCCAGGGGCTTCATCCTCCCCCGCACGGGATGGGAGGCTTGTCTCCTAGGGAGGCGTGGGAGGGCAGCCCGGGCCGCGAGAGTCCTGCTGCCAGCCAGCGGCCGCCGGGGGAGGCCGGAGGGCAGGGGAGCCATTCCAGGCGGGCTCCGCGTGCGCCCCAGACCGCGGAGGGGGTGGCCCCCCGGAGGTGGGGCAGGGCGAACACAGGTCCCCCGTGGCCGACCACGCCTGTCCTGGGTGAAGTGGGAGAGGGGCGGCCCAGGCCGGGGGGCTTCGGTGTGGTGGTTTGGCAGGAAGGGGCGGGAAGCCCGCCACCCCCGTACCGCAGGCGGCGGCGGCCCGGGTTCCCCCGCAACAGACGTCTTCCACTCGCGTCTCACCTGCTCCTCCACACGCCGCGCTGCCGCTGTCACCCGGTTCTAATGCCCGGTCACCGGCCCCCACCCATCAGTCCCCAGGGGTGGGCCATCTCCATCTGGCCCGGCTTTTCTTGGCCTCCTTACGGTGACCCCAGCCTGCCACTGCCATAGGGGCTCCCAAACCTTGTCTTCACTGACACCTGCCCACTCAAGTCTCTGTCCTGGGGTCCTGCTTTCTGCCCCTCCCGCCTCCCCGGGGTCTCACCGCAGCCAACCTGGGCGTCCCCAGCCTAAGAGGTCTTCACCACCCTCCGCTCCAAGCCCCGTGGCCTGGCTTCACTCCCTCCTACATTCTCGCCTTCCCTTGCCCCTCTGACTCTCCTGGCAGAACCCCACCTGGCCCTGTGCCCCGCAGCCTCTGCCCTCATGCACCCCCCCCACTCACGCATTCACTCAACACGTTCTTCACACCCGGAGGCCCAGCGGGTCCCCCCATGTCTGCTCCCTGTCCTGTGTCCCCATTGTAGTGAATGTTCCCACCATCCATGGGGACATTGCATCTGGAATTCCCAAGGGGCCTGTCCTGGTGGCCTCCCCCCCGACCGTACACTCAGGTATTAGTCCTGCTCACTTTGCTGCCCAAACCTGCCTGGATGCCCCCGGGGAGGCTTTCAGGGTCTGCTCACCAGGCCAGGGAGCCTGCCACCCTTGAGGGCCACACAGTGCTGACAGACACAGGGAGGGAGCTCGGGGGATAAGACCTAGCTTGGCACTGCAGACATTCCCTGCCAGGCTTCCCATCTGGCAGCACGTACTCCTTCCCGGAAACTTTATGGAAGCACCATGGCCTTGCCCTCGGGGGGCTTCCTTGGAGGAAGACTGATCATCACAGCCTGAGTGATGTCAGCGAGCCCCAGGACAGTGTGGCCAGGGTGGGAGCCAGTGTCCCCCCGCAAGCTGGGCTCCCAGCAGCCACTGCCCCTTCTCCGGTGTGCCCAGGACACAGTGGACACCAGCGCCAGCCTCCCCCCCGCCACCGCCCCAGGGTGGGGGGGTGCCAGGAGGTCAGCGTAGGGGGCCACTGCAGAAGGGAGTGGAGACCAAGGAGCACCCAGGCTGGGTCCCGGGCCTGTCCAAGTTTCCTGCCCCTCTAGTGCCTGAACTGTCACTCCAGGCTGTCGTCCCCTGCAGCCACAGAACTTGGCGAGCAGACCACAGGAGTCGAGGGGGCCAGCCCAGGCTGATCCGGTGGCTCAGAGGGGCCCGCCCTGGGACGAGGGGGCTCTTGATTGATGAGTGCCGCTGAAGAGCCCCGTGAAAACGGCCAGTGAGGAGAGGGGGGAGGGGGACGCCGCTGTAGCCATTCCTTGCACCTGGGGCCCAGAGGGAGAAAAAGGGACAAAAGCAATCAGTGCCTGTGTGCGCACCAGAGGAGGAGGCCCAACACTTCCTCACCACGCTGGCCTCCAGCACTGGAGAAATCTGGGGAGGACAGTCTCTGTTGACTCCGTTTCCCTCAAACTGCCACGGGGGCTTCATCACTGTTCCTTCCTGCGTGCTCCTGCCTGCCTGCACTGGAGCCCTCCCTTCCCAATCTTGAGATGCCCTTTGGTTCACACCCCCCCCCCCCCCCCCCCGCCCCAGGCCTCCTCTTCCCACCCCTGTGGCCCACGTGCCTCATGGCCTCCTGTGGGGTCTCTAAGGCATGAGCCAGAGCCTATCACTGCCCCAGGGAACACCAGCAAACTCCCGGCTGTGGCCATGATGCATGGCAGAGAACCCAAGGAAGGAGCAGACCAGGCTGGCCCAGGGGTCCACCAAGGCTGCTTCCTCCTCCGCTGTCCCTGCGGGCATCCCAGCCCCATTTCCTTGGGTCAGAAGTCACGGGATGTGCCATGGTGCATTTGTCCCTCTTACAAACCTTCCTCAGAAGCTCCAGCCACTGCTTTCACTGACCAGATCTGGGACACGTGGCCACCTCCAGCTGCAAGGGAATCTGGAAGGGTATTTTCATCCAGACACGCTGAAGCCCAGAACATATTGGGTTCCATTAGAAAAGGGCAGGGTGGCTATTAGGCAGGCACCTAGGAGGCTCAGCACTGCTATGTGACTTGGCCTGGTGGCCCTCTCCAACCCCAGGGCCCCTGCAGCGAGCCGTGCTGCCCTTCCCACCGCCCTCCGCCCATGGACTCGGCTCCTTCTGATCCCTTGGCTCCAGCCCCACTGTCCCCTCCGTGGCCCGGTGGCTGCTGCCCCACTGAGACTCCGATGTCTCCGAGAGGACTGTCCCGAGCCTAGAGGGGTAAGTAACGTCAGGAGCGCTTATCTGCTGAGATGCCACGCAGCTATTAAAAAAACGTGGCCAACTGGAACACACTCATCAGGGAGAGGTCTCTGTTGTGAGTTGAATTGTGTCCCCCAAAAAGATAGGATGGAGTCCTCAGCCCAGGTACAGGGCCTTTGCAGATGTTATTAGTCAAACTGGGGTCATCCTGGAGGAGGCTGGGCCCATCTGCCAGCGACAGTGTCCTGATAAACAGACGAGGAGACAGAGATGCCCCGGGGGGCGGCCAAGTGGGGATGGAGGGGCAGACTGGAGCAGGATGTCTATCAGCTGAGGGTCGCCGGCCACCGCCAGGTGCTGGGAGAGGCAGGGAAGGATGCTCCCTGGGCAGCCTCAGAAGGAGCACCGCGGCTGCCCCGGGATCCCGGCCTCCCGGCCTCAGACCTTCAACAGAATTAACGTCAGTTTGGGCCACCTGCCGTGTGGGATTTGGTTATGGCGGCCCAGGGGAACTCCTGCAAGTTCACTGTCAAGTCAGCGCCCGGGTGGGCATGTTCACCTCTGGGAGCTCCACTCAGACCTCCCTCCTCTGGGAGGCTGTTCCTGGCCTCAGCGAGTGTTCCCTCTTGTGCCCTGACCACACCTCTCCGTACCCCTGAGAGCTCACAGCACACACCGCCTGGCCTGCCCACGTGGAGGATGAGCAGGCCCGGGCCTCTCACTGCTGGGAAACCGCAGACATCCGAGGAGAATTTGCCGAACGGCTGACACTTCATCCAGCACGTTTGTGAGCTTGCGCACCTAGTCCTCATGCCTATGTCAGCCCCATTTTGCAGATGAGGAAACTGAGGGTCTGGACGGACACTCGAGCGTGCCCTGGTCATGCACCTCGGGCTGCCATCAGGGCCCGAGAGCACAGACCACCAAGCCGGGCCCCTCTGACCCCAGGGAGGGGGTGGGGAATGGATACAAACAAGGCCAACTCTTAAGAAAACAAAGAATGTTTTATTCCTTCAGCGGTTTCTATACAACAATGACACCACGAGAATAGGGTGGGAATCTTGTCTTCCTTGACCCGAGTCAGCCTCCTGGGAGAGCATATCACATTGCCCAAGAGGCTGAGCCCCGCTCAGGGCAAAGGAGGCCACAGTCATCTCCAACTTGTGCAAAACCATCTGCCTCCCTGTGCAAATACACGGCCACGCTGTACTGTGTCCACGAACAGGCCCTTCCTCCACGGCCTCATGGGAACACCAAGCAGGAGGAGACTCCCTGGGAGAGACATCATTTGCTGGGGCGTGGGGATCCTCCTGTACCGATCTCCTTGATGACTCCTCTGCATGGCTTAGGGAACCCTGGCCAGCGGCCAGAGCCCCACGCAGTGACTGACCCATGTCCCCATTTTACAGACAGGCAGCCTGAGGACCAGAGGGTGACAAGCCTTCCCCTCCCGCGGCTGGACTTAACCATTGAGCTCCCCTCCCACTGGCCCGTGCCTGGTCCCCCAGCCCAGCCCCTAGGCTCATATGGAGCTGCCAGCTGGTCCCAAGCCTCTTAGCGGCCCGTGGGGGTGGCGGCAGCCGGGACATTCCCAGCTGTGCCACACGGAGAAGCTGGGGTGCATCACAGCAGCATATTATGTCCTGGGACACCAGGAGGCACCCGGAGCTGCCTCTCCGTCCCTGATACAGAGACCGGACAGCTGGCCGAGAAGTGCCCCCTGCAAGGTGGCCGACTGGAGGTTAGCCGCTGGGTGGCCCACCGGCGAGTCGTCAGAGACCCCACGGCGGTGGCGGCCCGGATCCCGGGAAAGGGCTGGAGCGTCGGCGGGCTTTCCGGAGACCCCAAGGGACAGCGCCAGGCTCGGCGCGGGGGGCGCTACACGCCGTCACCTCGGAGCTCGGCGGCTGGCCGGTGCGGGTAGGAGGCTCCCCGTCTCCCGGCCGAGGGCCCCGCGGACGTCAAGCCTGCGGCCAAGGGCCCCCCGGCCGGCGCGTGGAAGGCAGCCCAGGCCCGCCGGCGTCCGCGGCCCGCGGCGCCCGGGCGCCCGCCTCACAGGCTGGAGGGCTGGGCCAGGCCGCGCCCCGGCGCGGCGGCGGGCACGGCCTCGCCGTCGGGCCGGGCCTCGGGGCCGCGCGCGTACGACAGCACCACGGTGACGGTGGCGAAGGTGGCGGCGTTGACGGGGAAGGCGCGCAGCAGCGTGGAGGCCAGGCCGCGCGTGAACACGCGCCAGCCCTCGGCGCGGTAGCTCTGGCGCACGCAGTCCACGAAGCCGCCGTAGCGCGGGGCGCCCCGCAGCCCGTCGGCCTGCAGCCGCGACTTGACCACGTCCACGGGGTAGGTGGACAGCCAGGACAGGATGCCCGACGTGCCGCCCGCCAGCAGCAGCTTGGGCACGAGCAGCCGGTCGCCGGGCTCGCAGCCGAGCGCGCGCGTGAGCGCGTCGTAGGACAGGAAGTAGACGCCGAAGCTGGGCGTCTCGCGCAGCAGCGTGGACGCCATGCCCCGGTTGACGCCGCGCAGGCCCTCGCGCCGGTAGATCTGCGCCAGGCAGTCCCGCGAGCCGCGGTAGGTGCGCGCCGGGCCCGCGGCCTGCAGCTGCAGCCGCGTCTTGGCCAGCTCCATGGGGCAGCAGATGACGCACTGGATGGCGCCCGCCGCCGCGCCGGCCAGGAACTGGTTCAGCGGCGTGTCGCGGCCCAGCGCCCGCAGGGCGTTGCCCTGCACGCCGAACACCAGCGCGTTGATGAAGGTGAGCCCCAGGAGGGGCGAGCCCAGGCCCTTGTACAGGCCCAGCACCTGCGGGGGCGCACAGACACGCGTCACGCGCGCTCCTGCTCCTGCTCGGGCCGCCCCGCCCGCCTCCCCGGGAGCCCGCGTGCAGGGGCTGCCGAGCCCCCCAGCCGCCCCGCGTGTTCAAGGGGACCAAGCCGAATTCTGCCACAACCCACGTCCTCGAGGCCCGAGGCCTGGGCATTCGCACCTTCCCATTTCCCAAGTCCCCATTTGCCCATAGTCCGCGGGGCCGGGGGGCGGGGGGGGTGCGTCTTTTCCAACTCTGCCGTCCGGGGCTCAAAGCATTCCAGAAGATGGTTCCCCACCGCCACCCCCAGGCCCAGGCCACTCACACTCTCCTGCTTGATGATTGACTGGAAGCAGTGCAGGGTCCCTCGGTACTGAGGCTTCTCCAGGCTCTGGACCTGAAGCCGCACCTGCAAGGACAGGGCCCCGTGAACGGTGGCCGAGCCAAGCCAGAGCTCCCAGCTCTCAGGTCAGCCCGCGGAGGCTCTCCGGGGGAGGCCCAAGGCCGGATGCTGGAGGCAGGGAGCCAAGTACGTTTCTGTGGCCTTTGGAATTCTGGGATGGGGCAGGGCCGGGTGTCCATGCCTCTTCAGGGGAGGGGATCAGTGGGCAAAGAGCCACAGAGACTGCCAGCTGCATAGGGGGGAGAGGGTCCCCGAGATCTCAGACAAGTAGAGGCCAAGCCTCTGGTTGCATTACGTCTGCATGACGTGCAGACAGTGGGGCCGAAGCACTTTCCCAGACCTCCCCACTGTCCTGGTGGCAAACTGTGGCCGATGCCAGAGGGGCTCCCCACCTATTCCCATCACCCAGCTCCCCTCAGGGGCTGACAGTGCCACAATGGGTGTTAAAAGCACTGAGCTTTGGACTCTGAGGGACCCCTAATTTCTGCCAGTAGCCCCTTGTGGGGACAGTGGTCGTGAATTAACAGTGACAGAAGAGCACCTGATAGCCTCCTCGATGACCATGTCCCCACCTTCGGGACCTGGGGGCTCATGCCCAGCTGCCCTTGGCCCCCCATAGTCCAGAACCACTTAATGTGAAAGTATTCTTTGTTGACGGAGAGCTTATCTCTGGGTTTGATACGCAGGCCCCACAGTGTGGAGTGGGAGCACATTTCCCGAAATCAGAATCCAGGTCATGGGGGTGGGGGGTGAGCCAGGTTAAGTCTTGTTCTCAGGAGCTGACTCAGAAATCACTGTACCACAGCCAGGGCCACAGCACGAACACCCCTCTGTGGCCTACCCCTGGAATCACCAGCTGAGGTGGGTGTAGTTACCCCCACTTCAGAGGTGGGAACACTGAGGCTCAGAGATGTTTTGCAACTCGGCCAAGGCTGTCTGTCCACTCCAGCAACGGGAGTGGCTCGGCTGCGGGGGCGGGGGGTGCTGGCTGGTAAGAGCCTTCCAGTGGATCTTCTCTTGACAAACGCACTTAAAAAGAATGTGTTCTGAGAACACAAAAGCACCATCTCTGCACACGAGGACCTCTGCAGTTGGTGGCCACTGCTCTGAGAAGCAGCTGACAAGCAAGTGCACCCTGCAGTGGACCACCCCAGGGCCCCTTCCCACCCTGGCGGCCTGGCTGGGCCACGGCCTGGCGGGGGAGGGGTGGATTTTCAGTGGAGAAAAGCAAAAGCGCTTGGGCAACATATTAATAACATATTAACACCTTAACACTTAATAACGTATTAACACCTTGAGCTCTGCTCAGGTTGTTTTTGGGATGTGAGGTTTTTTACTTCCCTTCCGTGTTATGGGGTCTCTGGTGGGACATTTCTCTTTCTCATGCAGCCACTGAATGGGCCCTGTGAGCAGAAATAACAGGAAGCAGGGCCCAGCGGGCCCTGCTTGGGTGGGATTTTCGGACACACGTGGATGGCAGCTTGAAGTCTCTGCAGGTTGAACACGCTCTTGCCCAGGCTCAGGCCAGCTTGGGTCCCACAGGGAGCACGGAGGCCCCTCTCCCCTTTGTCTCTGACCCCTGGACCTGGGCTGAGCACTCGCTGGCTGGGAGTTTGGGGGACCAGGTTTGGGGGTGAAATGGGGCCCAAGTCTTGTAATCTCTAGAGTTGAGGTTGACATCCTGTTTGAGGATTGGTGGGCCCGCCCCTGGAAAAGTGGTTGTTCGCACACATGCCCAAAAGGCTTCCAGCTCTCCACCGGGCTGAGACGCCCAACGTGAAGACCCTCTGATCCAGAGGGGGCTGATTTTCTCCACCAGCCCCACCTGAATCCCCGCCCCAGGACCTGTGCCGGGCCCAAGCTCACCTCAGGCCCTCCCTGTCTCCTGCTAGTCAGGGAGGGAACTGTGTGGGGTGGGGAAGGGGAGGGGTGTGGCGGGGTGCGGTTCAGGCCCAGGGTCTGGTTCAGCCAGGACAGAGAAGGGTCGGGTTCCCCTGGTCTGTACTTACTAGCGCTCTCCAGGGTGAGGCTTATGCTCATTTACAACAAAGTTACACTTTTGCTATGGGTGGAGACAGCCCCTAGCTCAGAAAGTAAAGGCGGTTAAAGCAACATAAAATATCAACATCACATCCAGGCGCGGAGCCCCCAGGCCCAGCCCCCGACCTCCCCATCCCCTCCCCTGCCCTGGGATGGCCACTCCCCGGTGAAAGCGGTTTTAGACCCACTGTCCCTGATTACTGTCATGTCCTGGGCAGTAGAAGGGAGCGGGGCTGCTAGGAGGACTGGGGGGTTTCTGGGGGGCGGACCTTGTTCTGCTCTCCCCAGGCTTGTGCTTCAGTATGATGATTTGTAGATTCATATGCTTGGCATGTGTGTACTTTTCTACATGGTTACATTTCAGTTGAAACAACAACAGAGATACTGAAGTAAATCCCACTTTTGCCAAACACAAGGAATATATCCAGGTGAGGGTTGGGGAAGAGATCTATGAAGGACTGTTTTTTTTTTTTTTTCCTTTTTGGTTTATATGTCTCTGTAATGGTTAAAAATGTCTTTACAACCTACATTACTTTTGTAATAGAAAGCCAACCAAATAACTGTGTGTGTACCTGATGACTGAAACACATTTTGAAAAAATATCACACGCCCATGGCAGGCACAATGGCAGTGGGGGCAGATCCTGAAGGAATGTACAGAATGGGAAAACCGGTTTGTCAGTATAAGTAAATAAGGTGCTCTTCTACCTTTCCCAGTTTTCTTTTTAATGAGAATTGTTTAACTTTTATACTGGAAAAGAGCCAGTAAAAAATAAGGCCATTGGTGTGGGGGGGTGCCTGGGTGGCTCAGTTGATTAAGCATCTGTCTTGGCTCAGGTTGTGGTCTCAGGGTCCTGGGATCGAGCCCCGCATCGGGCTCCCTGCTCAGCAGGGAATCTGATTGTCCCTCTGCCTCTCCCTACTCCCCCCTGCTTGTCCTCTCTCTGTCAAATAAATAAATAAAATCTTAAAAAATAAGGCCATTGGTGACACAGCATTAAATTAGACCAAAGGCACGCGTTCCTTGATCAGCACAATATAATAGTGTGTGAGCCCGTAACTAGGACGAGAGGGGTCACGAGTTGAGTGACAGAGGGGATTACTGGGGGCGGGTTTTTTTCCTATCCATAAGAAGCTTGGTTTTGTTTTTTTTTTTAAAGATTTTATTTATTTATTTGAGAGAGAGAGAATGAGAGAGAGCACATGAGAGGGGGGAGGGTCAGAGGGAGAAGCAGACTCCCTGCCGAGCAGGGAGCCCGATGCGGGACTTGATCTAGGGACTCCAGGATCATGACCTGAGCCGAAGGCAGTCGCTTAACCAACTGAGCCACCCAGGCGCCCAAAAAGCTTGGTTTTTAAAGTCAGGTTTGCCCAGATGTGATTGATGCAGGTGGGCCGCAGTGACCAAAAAAAGCCACCAATGGATTTCTTCAAAGACCACCCTCCAGGGGCGAGGTAAAGGGGGGGATCTAAGGGGCAGGAGCCCTGTGGGGTGGAGAGGCTCCTGGTCCCCAATCACTGCCGGGGGTGCTGGTCGTGGCCCAGGAGCTCAAAGGGGGCCAGAAACCCCAGGACAGAGTCCTCCCCAGCCTGGGGGCACTGAGGAGGGGGCCCAGTGGGAGCGGGGCTAGCTGAGGGGGGCCTGGCCATGCCCAGGCTGAGTCATGGCTCAGAGAGGTGTGGCCCCTGCAACATTGGGCTGAGGAAGCGAATCCAGAGTCACTTCGTGGCCGGATACAGAGGCATTTGCAACATGTGACTGCAAGATATAAACCCAGCAGGGTGCGGACAGTGCCAGGCTCTCCCGGGCTGCTCTGGCCTGTGGGCAGGCTTCACGGGGCGGCCAGCTGGGCAGCGCTCAGGCAGCTGTGAGGACAGGCGGGCTGTGTAGGAACCCGGGCTGCTGTGTGGCAAGAAAGCCTGGTCCTTCCACCTTCTCCTTAAATTGCAAACGATTGGATAGAAGATCTGTGCTCTGCAGAACTAGCATTTCCTGCAACCCAAACTTGACTGTTGAGCACCCGGCACAAGGGCCTCTGTAATCTTTTTTTTTAAGATTTTATTTATTTATCTGACAGAGAGAGACACAATGAGAGGGAACACAAGCAGGGGGAGTGGGAGAGGGAGAAGCAGGCCTCCCGCCGAGCAGGGAGCCTGATGCAGGGCTTGATCCTAGGACCCTGGGATCATGACCTGAGCTGAAGGCAAGACGCTTAACAACTGAGCCTCCGGAATCTTGCCCAACGCCTCACTTGACAGATGAGATCCCTGGGCCCCAAGGTAAAGCAGCTGGCCCAAGGTCACACAGCAGATGGGCTCGCGGGGGCCTGGACCTGCACATAGCCTCGGGCAGAACTTGTTCTGGTCAGAGCCAAAACATCAAGCCTACTAGGCCCTCACGCCTGTGCTGGAGGCAACCCCAGCCCTGAGGTCCCGAGGCCTTTTCTTGCCCAAGGACCACCTGATTGCCACTGAAAAAAGAGGGGACAGGAGGTGACCTCAAACCCAGCTAGGGCTGACATCCTTGCCTTCGCTGTCCCCAGGAGGCACTGCCAAGTTCAGTGTTTACAGTGGGTCACAGGGTCTGGCCTGGTGCCCTGCTGCTTACGGCTTGCCCTGATTCCCGGGGGAAGCCTGCAAGGGAAAGTCCAGACTTGGCTGGTTTCAGGACCTAAAACCCCAACAACAGGGAGAAAATCCTATTTGGGAATTTCCAGCTAGAAAACATGGATTTCCTTTGTTTCCATTGTGAGCCTCTGAGCACCTGGATCTGGACAGTTTATCGAGGAGGAGCTGCGGACTGAGTGCCCGCCCCAGGGCCCCACACTGGAGCCAGGAACTCCTTGCACGTGCACACCAGCCCTTGGGAACCCATCGCTCAGTTTCGTGCCAGTGGGGATTACCACTCGGTGACAATCATGTTCATGGGAAATACTGACAGGTTCTGGTTTTTCTGTCTTTCTGTATTTTCTCTCTGAACTGCACTTTCTTTCAAGAAGATGTCTGGGGGGCTTCTGCATCAGAACAGTGAGCAGTCCCCGCTCTGGGCAAGGGGAAGCCTGCCCTTCAGCCTCTCAGTCTCAGGGGCCACCACCACGGACCTCCAAGTTCAGCCCTGAGCTGGGAGATGTAAGGCCAGACCCAGAAGGAAAGCGGACACACAGCCGTCCACCTGGGTGTCACAGAACCCTAAGTCTACCTTTATTCCAGAACCTATGGGAAGACCTCACAGGCGTTCCTAAGGTGGTCACTGGAAAGGGGCCTCTGGCCACCCCAGCCCTGTAGGCCTCGGTGCAACGTCTGCGCCTCCACAAAGACCTGAGAGTAAAACTGTGACAAGACACTCACCTTGACTGTGTCAAATGGGTGTCCCACGAGCACACCTGCCACACCTGGAGGAAAAAAGGAGGACCGTCACCCAGATGCCTCAGAAAGCTGCAGTGTGGGGGGCGTCCGGCTAGGAGGACCACACGGGAGCTGCTGGATGGGAACAGAGAACGTTTACCAGGCGCCCTGTGAGCTCTTTTGTCCTCAGGTCTGCACGAGCAGTGGGGTAAGAGGGTGACATCCCTGAGGATGAGCCAGGATCTGTCCCACTCAAAGCTGGTGTCTCTCTCTCCCCTCCTGCTCACACACTTGACAACAGAAGTTGTCTCCTCCCACCACCCGCCCCGTGCAAACACCTCCAGGCATGGCAGGGGGGCCCAGGGATTTTGGACTTGGGGCCAGACTTGGGGCCAGGTCTGCAGCTCACTCCCCTCACCTGGACTTGGGGATTTTGGACTTGGGGCCAGGTCTGCAGCTCACTCCCCTCACCTGTACTCTGTGTGAGCATCCGCTCCGCCAAGCCCCTCCCCCTGCCAAGCCCCTCCCCCTGCCAAGCCCCTCCCCCTGCGTGCTGACCCAGGGCCGGCATCGAGGCATCAGGTATTGCAGACACTGGCTGACCACTCCCTTCCCTGCAGGGGAGCCACCTGCGGCCCAGGGAGTCGGCTCCCGACTCTGTGATCATGGGCGATATGAATCAGTCCAGGCCCTGCCCAAACCCCAGGCCCACCTCGAAGGACAAAGGCTCACTCTCCAAATTGGCTCCTAAATACTTTTCAGAGTGCTGAGTGCTGTTCAGGTGTAAATATCACTGGGAATCAGGCACCTTGGTTCCCCATTCACGGAAGGAGAAAGGGAGGCTCAGTGAGGGAGAGAAGCCCATGCACCAACTCCCATGCCTTCCTCCCTAGAATTCTGTGTGTGAATCTCTTAAAGTTCTCCTTTTACCACTCGGAGTATTTATAATTAAGACAGTTACTATTTGCTGAGTGACAAACAGTAACGTTTCTACTGGGGGTCACTGTTGTTAGTTTTGTATGTGACTAACTCTCCCTCTTATTTGTAAACAAAGGACTATTAGCCCATTTTACAGATGAGGAATGGGAGGCTGAGAGAATATGTCCATGTTGCGCAGCTAATAAGTTGGTGGGGTGAGGATTTGAACCTGGATCTTCTGGGCCTGGAGCCCCTTTGGGGCTGGATATCGTGGTGGGCACCCAGAGGTTAGTGGGGATTACTGTGCTGCCTCTTTATAACTCGCAGATCTTTGTAAGGTGCCCTCTCCATCCTGTTCAGTACTTTGGGCCTTAGAATCCATTGTGTTTGGTACTAACTTTGCCAATCCTGCTTTCTTTTTGGTTACGTGTGTCTGGTATCGCTTTGTGATGGTTAATTTTCAACCTGGTCCTACTACTTTGTTTTTCATGCTCCTGGAAATGAGCTATAGCTCGGCTAGGCTTTGGTCCCTGCTCCCATCTGAAGCTGTCTCTGATTTTGCCAAGACGGGACATCTGACCCAACTCCATCTTATTTTATGTGAATGAATTCTTTTACTCCTTTTCTTTTCTACATTTTTGTTGGTACAGGCAAACTGCCATTTGTCCTCCTCCTGCTTGTTAATGTTTAAGTTCAGCTAAAGGTTACTTCTTGTTTCTAACACTTAGAATCATTATCTGTAGACACAGGATAAGAACCGTCGCCCCTCAAGGCTCTGTCTGCCCCCCCCTCGCCGCTGTCCCTACCCCTCCCCAGTAAGAGCCACCCCAAGAAGGTTCCCCACCCCTGTAGCTTCCCCTTCTACTCCCTACCCTCCCACACCCAGAGACCCCACGAAACTCATAGCTCTTCGCTCTCCTCTTCACCTCTGCCCCCTTCTGGGGGTCTCTACTCTGATCAATTGCCATTTGGCGCCTTTCTGGACTATTTTTCTCGGAGGTAACATATAGGGCAATGGCCTCCGTATTCCTGCTCCTCTGCATAATGTATTTCGTTAACGCTGTCAGGGAACAAGGGTCCTGTGCTCTGGTGAGGCTCTCAGGCCCAGGCCAATATCCCAGAATCTCCTGGCTTTTGGTGCTACAGCTGAGAAATCTGTTGCCAGTGCATTTCTTCTCCTTGGTCAATAATTTATGCGTTCTATCAGGAAGCCTCTGAGATTTTATCTGTAGATTTCAGGAATGTCATCGAGATGCCAAGGGTATGTCCTCTTGTTCTTCTTTTTTTTTTTTTTAAAGTAACCCTGCCTGGTACACCAGTGCTTTCACTCCAGAGACTCAGGCCTTTTTCTGATCAGAGAAAATTTCCACTCTTACGTATTCATCCTAATCATCGTCTCCAGACCTTTTTCTCCTTCTGGAACCCCTAACATTCACAGGAAGATGAAAAGACATCCCTAAGGCATCTTGCCCCTCGAGACTTCCATACCTGCGTCTCTGGTCTTTTGAGACACACTTTGTTTCTATCTTTTGCAATCCACCTTCTTTTTTATGTCGTGTTGTGAATTTTCTAAATTTGAACACCCTAGTTCTAGAATTTATTTTCTGGGACTGTGACTGATTCTCTGGGGTTTTGGAAACCTGACACTTGGCTGGGGTATGCTGTTTGGCCTTGCTTCTCTCTCCAGCTGTGGGCCAGCTGTGGGGTCCCCAAGAAGCACACAATGGAAATGCTGGAGGTTCCCTTCCTGTGGGTGACCCGTCCTGCCCCTGGCCCCAGACTTGCTCAGGTTCTGGCACCAGCCTTCATCAGCCTCCAGGATGGGAGGGGTGACCCCCTACCCCACAAGCCTCGGTTGGGAGGCCCCACCAAGGCCTCCAGTGGCAGCCATTTGCTTTCCTCCTTTCCCCAGAGGCCCGATTCAGGGCCCTCAGGGGAGGGGCTTCGGGCCTCACCTCGGACATCCCCATTCACAGGAACAGAGGGGGCCTTGGGGCCTGCCTCCATGAGGGCCTCCAGTCCCCCAAAGCCTTGTCCTTTTAACATCAGTGACCTTGAGAGCCAGGAAGCCCTGCCAGACCAGGTCCCCAACAGGCCACTGAAGCAACACAAGTGGACCCTTTCTTCCACCTCCAAAGCCAGTGCCCACTGCCTTACACAAGCTGGATTCTTAGAGGCACCCTCATCCCATCATGGCCCTCCAGGGTAGGAGGGGGGGACCACTCTCCCCAGGCAGGGTTCCCGGCCCCACCGTGGAGCTGCTCTCCACACCTCCTCCTATCCACGCCCAGCGCAGGGAGAACTCCACTCAGAGCACAGGGTGTCAGCGGCCTGAAGACCTGGGACGGACCCCCTAGTGGGGAGTGTGGGCAGGCCGCCTGAGCGCCTGGATGCTGTCAATCAAGGTGCCTGCCTCACCACCTAGGGCGAAATTGAACACGTGACCAGACACTCAGCCAATCAGAGATGATGTACTGTTCTCTGTCCCAGGAATCTGCATCTCGAGGGCCCCCAGGCCACCAAAGAGAAGCACTGCCATCACCCGGCCCTGGGCCCACAGGCCTGGAGGAGCCCAAGACGAAGGAACCAGGCGGGGGCTTCTAGGGCTACCGGCGCATGGTTCCTAGACGGTCCCTCTGCATGGCCAGACATGCCAGGGACCCAGAAGGCAGGCCGGGGACACAATCAGGTCACTGTTCCACCAGTCCCTCCAATTCTCAGGACCAAGGTTTCTCCTGGGTCGAATAAGAGCAGAAGTTCCCAGGGGAGGGGGAGCGGAGGCTGACGACCCTCACAAAGAATCTTTGTGGCAGCCACTTCCATCCTCATCCACCTGGGAGACTCAGGCCTCCACTCCCACAGCAGGGAGGTAGGTGCGCAAGACCTGCCCCAGGCTTGCACCTGGATCCGAGTAAGGCAGTGGGGGGCGGGGGCTGTGGCCTATAGCTGGGTGTGGTACTGGACTCTTATCTCACCCCAACCCTGGAGCCTGGACAGGATCTCCTAGGTGGGCCTGGTAAGGATGGACAGAAGGCATTCCAGGAGCCAGAGCCTCGAGTGACTGAACACGTGTGCCTGGGGCGATGGGTCCCTACGCAGGCCTGGCCTTAGGATGAGTAGTCCTACCCCAAGCCCCACAGCTCGCAGGGGGCTCCCAGGACACCTGGAGAAATCAGAAGGAATCCTGCCCCTCTGGGGAAGGAACCCACACTCCCCAAGAAGTTGGGAAGGGTCTTTGGCCATGGGCCGGCCCACCCTCACTGAGCCATCACTTGGAGTGGGGGTGGGGTAGAGGAGGGCCTGGAGTCCAGGAGAAGCCAGCAGGTGTGGGGGCTGGTGCAGCCATGGGAGGGGAACAGGAAAACAGAGTGGGGTCACAGGGGGATAGGGGAGCTGAGAGCTGGATCTGCAGAGGCTGCCCCCTCCGGTCTCTGGCCTGGGCTTGGGAGAAATGCACCCATTTATGAAAAGCCCTGGGGTTTTCCCCCCTTCAGCAGGCTCCAGCCGGGTGGTTTCCTGAGGCCTGATTGGGTAACAGTCTGGGAAGTTCTTAAATCTTAAATCTCTTCACACACATCACTTCCTTGGCACTCTCTCTTTTCCACCAGTCTCCTCTTGCCCAGAGTAGGAAGCTCAGACTGCAGAGGTTTAGATGCCTGAGGCCATTGCTAGTCCTTCCTCTGCCTGCAGGGCGCCCAGCGCCCAACCCAAGCAGATGATAAACAGCCGATAAACAGTGCTGGAGGAGGGAAGCCCACCATCCGCGCAGGACCAGGCCCGGGGTGACACAGTGGCTCCTGTCACCTCGGTGGGGAATACCTGTTAGCAAAACCTGGCTCGCAGTTAATACCAGTTGAGTAAATAAACTCTCCAAGGAAAAGCAGAGAAACGAAAGGCCAAACAGGGAAGTGGCCGGCCTGATGCCCTGGGTGGCCCACAGCAGAGCCAGGACAGCACAGTGACTGCTGCCCTCTCGGGGACACAGGCTTGGGGAGGACCCTCGCAGCCTCGCCTGGGTGAAGGTGCCCCACATCGGTGACACGCACGCGTGAGCACAAGGGCCAGTCCACGCCGCGTGTCAGGCCCACGCCGCCACTTGGGTGGGGTCGCCCCCCAGCAGCTCACGGAACGGCGTAGGAAGGTGCGGCGTGCCAAAGCGTGCCTCGGCGCCTGGGGTCCGGCCGGCGCCCTTCAGTGCCCTCCAAGGCCAGTCCGCCAGGGGGTCGTCCTGTGGCCCCAGCCCCGCCCAGACATCTGCGGGGGAAGAGGGTAGAGCCGACCCCAAACTTATCGGGCCCCGGGAGGGGACCGGGGTGTGGGGGGGCGACCCCGGTCCGGGTAAGCGCGGGCTGGGGATGCAGGAGCAGGTGAGGGAGATGCGCCCGAGGCCTCGGAAGAGAAGGGCGCACGGGGCGGTGGGGCATCCTCCTGGCAGTCCCCGCCTTGGCCAAGCCACCGTGCTGCCCCTGCGCCCCAGACCTCTCGTCTGGACGTGCCCCGAGGGACTTAAACGTCGCGTGCCCTGGCGGACTGCGCGCTAGACGCCCTCCGGGCCTGCTGTCAGTTCACGCCCACGAGAGCCCCGTGAGACGAGAGCATTGTTACCCCCATTCTGCAGGCGACGAAACCCCGGCCAGAGGATGGGCCTCCGGGGCTCAGGGCCCGCAGGTGAGCCGGCCTCCCATCCCGCATGCCTGGCTCCGGCCTCCCGAGATCCGGCGCTCGGGGCGGGAGCCGCCCACCTCCTTACCCCCAGCGCATCCAGCCAGGAAGTCGAGCGCCATTGCCGGGTCCCCGGTGAGGCCGCCCTTCCTCCTCGTCCTTCTCCTCTGGCCCCTCGCCGGACGGGCGGCCGTCGGGGGTCCCCCGGGCTCTCTGGATTGGGGCTCGGCCGGGCCGCCGCCTCCTGGCGCGGAGCCCGGGGCCGGCCGGGGTCGGGGGGCGGCGGCGGCGGCGGCGGCGGCTCAGCGCGCGGGTCCTCGGTCCGCGCACGTCCCTCGCGGACCGGCTCGCTAGCCCTCGCTGCTGTCCGCCTACAGCCGGCGGTCCCTCACCTCGGGCCGCGCGCCCCGCCCCTCGGGCCTGCCGGCCGGACCCCGGCGGGGTGCAGAGCGCGGCCAATGGGCGGGCGAGGCGCGGACAACACCCCGGGCCCTGCGCGCCGCCGCCGCGCCTCATTGGCTGGGCGTGGGCGAGGTGGGCGGGGTGGGGGGGACGTGGCGGGCGGGGGAGGCGCACGGGCGCTGCAGACAAAGAATGTGCTTCGTGCGCCCGCCCGCGCCGCTCCGGGCGGGAGAGGCGGCCGAGGGCGCGCGGCGGCGGGACGGTGGGGCCGGGTCCGGGAGCCCAGGGCCTGACCGCGGCCTGTGCCGGGCGGGAATCTCCCGGCGTGCGCGAGACGGCTCAGCTGAGCGGGAGGCGGGGTGTGCTCGACCCTGCCGCCGAACCCCGGGTCCCTGCCCGTGTAATGGGGACACGGGCGCGACAGCGGGCGCCTAGAGCCAGGATCCTCCCGGGCTCGGACAGCACTAGTCGTGATACCCCGCGGGCGGCGAGTCGCGGGGTATCGGGGTCAGAGCGCGCCCGGGGCGGCGGGGAGCCCCTCGGGGGCCCGCACCTGACCGCGCGCTGCAGGGCCGCGGGAGCCGCGGAAGGGTGCGCAGCGGGGCAGGTTCCTGGACGGGCCGAGAGCGGGGCGGCGGAGTGGGGGCACGGGGGGCCTCGGGACGGGGCAAGCCGGCTCAAGTGGGAGGGGTCCGGGCTCCAGTCGTCGTGGGGAGCCGGGCGGCGGGGGGGGGGGCGGCGAGGGGCAGAGGAGGAGCCGGGTCCGACGCGGTCCACATCCTCCCCACCCCCACCCCCCGAGAGTCCCTGAGATTGGCAGTGGCAAGGACCCCTCCCTGGTCAGAGATCTGGACTGTCCGGTTGGGACTGGACTTGGCTGGACACTTTCTCCTTCACAATGAGGGTGAGATAACACCTTTCGGGCCCGGGGCCCAACTTCCTTCTTCACTGTCCTGTGGTTCGGACCACACTCCCTGCCATGTTTCCGGATTGCAGATCACACAGTTCTTTTATTCTCACTGTACCGTTTCTGAAACCGGGATGGGGCTTACAATGGATCTGTACCCAGGGTTTTAAAGATTATGTATTTCTGGTACTAGGGTATAAGTCAGCTAAGCAGTGATCCATGGTGATACAGAGCCCACGAGGAATCCAACAGTCACTTGTGGTTTCCTTTTATTCTTCTTAGAATCTAGATAGAACATTCATTAAGCAGAGACCCAAACCCAGGTCTGCTGACTCCTCGTCCAGTGCTCGTGATGGCTGGTGGGCCCTGAACTGGGGGTCTGGAGGCCTGGGTTTGAATATCGCCAGCCTCTGACCTCAAGGAGCCAGAAAAGCAGTAGCATATGGGCCCCAGGAGAAGCCCAGACCCAAAACAGGGGTAGGAGTTGACAGTGGGGATACTCCAGTGGCTGGAGGCCTCCAAGGCATGACGATTAAATTACATCCAGGTGACTCACCCCTAGGAACACTTGTCCCCTCCTGGTTACTGACGCCTCCGGAGGAAAAGCACAATGCCTGCAGCAATTACCCCTGGTTTCAGAGGTTTGAGAAGAAAGTCAAGTGCCTGAACAGGACAGTAAGTCAGAACAGTATTATGGAACAGTTAAGAAGGAAACAAGGATGACCTGCTTTATTTATCTATATATTTTATTTTATTATTTTATTTTTTTAAAGATTTTATTTATTTGACAGAGAGAGACCCAGTGAGAGAGGGAACACAAGCAGGGGGAGTGGGAGAGGGAGAAGCAGGCTTCCCGCGGAGCAGGGAGCCCGATGCGGGGCTCGATCCCAGGGTCCTGGGATCATGACCTGAGCGGAAGGCAGACGCTTAACGACTGAGCCACCCAGGTGCCCTATCTATATATTTTAAAGATTTATTTGTTTATTTTAGAGAAAGAGTGAGAGAGAGAGCACACAAGCAGGGGAGGGGCAGAAGGAGAGGGAGAGAATCTCAAGCAGACTCTGACTCTCCACTGAGCACGGAGCCCGATGTGGGGCTCCATCTCATGACCCTGAGATCGTGACTTGAGCTGAAACCAAGAGCCGGCCGCTTAACCAACCGCCCTGGTGCCCTGCTTTACATATATATTTTTTTATTAAATTATGGGGCACCTGGGTGGCTCAGTCCTTAAGCGTCTGCCTTTGGCTCAGGTCATTATCCCCAGGTCCTGGGATCGAGTCCTGCATCAGGCTCCCTGCTCAGTGGGGAGCCTGCTTCTCTCTCCCTCTCCCACTCCTGCTGCTTGTGTTCCCTCTCTAGCTGTCTCTCTCTGTCAAATAAATAAATAAAATCTTTAAAAAAATAAATATTAAATTATATTAAATTATATATAAAAATGTATTTTATGTATATATATGTATGTATGTATATATGTGTGTATATATATATATATATATATATATATTTTTTTTTTTTTTTTAAAGAGAATGCACCTGCCTTGAAGTCAATGTCATGCTGGGGGCAGGCAGCATGAGCCCCGACTCCCTGGGGGTCAGCAGCCTGACCTCCAGGGGCTCTGGTGGCAGTTCAGGAGAGACCAGAAAGGGAAAACAAGGAAGTCACGGCCAAGTAAATGAGTACGCAATGCCTGTATTTTGGAACCTGCATTATGGCATCAGCAGTCGGTTTCTGTGGCTGTTCTGTTTCATTTCCTGAGGATAAAATTAGAGCTCAGAGTATGGTTGTTCAAACTCCTCACCTTCCCCAGCGCCCCAGGCCCCACCCCCATCCCGGGGGAAGCCACCCTACAGGGTCCCAGACTTTAAGGAGCAGGAGGGGTTCAAGGCCAGAGCAGTAATAGGACAGCAAGTTGGGGAGGGAGTGTCACAGGGGACCAGGGGTCAAGCCAGGTCACTGAAAAGTGCATGGTGCAAGTTTTTACTTTGTACAGCTTTTATAATATCTTCCACAAGACGGGTCCCGTGTGGAAGAATTAGAAACACCAGCAGGAATAGAGGAAAAGAAAATCACCTCTGTTCTCGCCACCCTGGAATCACTTGGATTCAGTGACGGGAGGCTGTTCTGACCCGGGTGAGGTGGGGTGGGGAGGGCAGGGCTGTCCAACTGACTCCCTGCTCGCTTGGAATAAAACCTAGGCTCAGTGCCTCTAGGCACAAGGTGACCTGGCCACAAGCTCCTAAGCCCATCCTCACCCCTGTGCTTTTGCACCAGCTGCTGCCTCTGCCTGGGAAGCTCTTCCCTTGCCCTGATCACCTCCAGAACTCAGGCCCCTGTTCCCTCCTCACCTCCTCACAAGGGGCTTGGCTGGCCTTCCCTATCTACAGTGGACAGCCGGCCGCCCCGCCCCACACTGCTTTCTTTTTTTCTTAAAGATTTATTTATTTATTTATTTATTTATTTATTTATTTATTTATAAGAGACAGAGAGAGAGAGAGGCAGAGGGAGAAGCAGGCTCCCCGCTGAGCGGAAAGCCCGATGTGGGACTCGATCCCAGGACCCTGGGATCATGACCTGAGCCGAAGGCAGACGCTTAACCATCTGAGCCACCCAGGCACCCCCCACACTGCTTTCTTTCAACTCCTAGAGTGACATTATTTGTTTCTCTGTGTGTTTATCACCTCTCTCCCACTTGAATGTGAGCTCCAGCAGGGCAGGGACCTTCTCTGTCTTCTTTATTAACCCTAAACAAGGCGGGCACACAGTGGGTGCTCAATAAATGTGCAAGCTGACAAAATCACCAAATGGCCAGAGCTGTGGAAGGTGATGGACCCTGGGTGGGGGGTGAGGCCGGTGGGAGGCCCGCTGGCTGACAGCCTGAGCCTTCTCCGGGGACCTGTGTTCTGCGAAGAAAGAGGTGAGGGATGCTGGGGGTTCTGGGTGATAGTTTTTTCTAAAAAACGTCAGAAACAAAGTTTCTCCCTGCAAGGCTACAGTCTGCCCTGATAAGGAGCCAGGGAGATGCAGGAAGGGGACATGCCTCTCCTGGATTGGGGTGTGTGTGTGTGCGTGAACGTGTGTCTGCAGAGTCAGACTCCTGCACCCCTGCCTGTCAGTTTTGACTCAAAAGCAGGAGTCACAGGGCACCTGGGGGGCTTAGTCGGTTAAACATCCGACTCTTGATCTCAGCTCAGGTCTTGATCTTGGGGTCGTGAGTTCAAGCCCCACATTGGGCTCCATGCTGGGCGTGGAGCCTACATTAAAGAAAAAAGAAAAGCATGGGTCACCCTGCCAACTCTGGCAGGGGTGAGCAGGCAGCTTGAGGAGCCAGGCCTGGGTGAGGGGGTTGGGGGCCCTGGCTCCCCACTCTAGACCTCCAGGATTGGAGTCTCCCAGGATGCTGGCTAAGACACAGATTCCCAGACCTAAGGAATCAAACTCCGGGAGCAGAGGGGCTTGAAAACTGCATTTAAAGTGACCCCTTCAGGGGTCTTTGGGTGGCTCTGGGGACCACAGGTTGAGACTGTCTCCAAGCACAAGTTCGGGAAGCTTCACTCCAGCAGTTTTGCTTTTCACTCTCAACTCGGGCCCCTTCTGGCTGTGTGACCCTGTGAGTCTTCTTGGCCTCAGGTTCGTCATCTGGAAAATGGGTTGAAGAGGATCCTAGGGGCCAGAGCGAGTGAAGGAGCTCACACAGGGCAGGCACCTTTGTAGGAAAACACAAGAGTTAATTATTCATCTGAGAGATTATCTTCAACTATCCAACTGGGGCGGGGAAACCCTGGCCCCAGAAGGTCTCTGAAGGCTGCTAAGGACTGCGGTGAGCAGGTGGGGGACTTTAGGGGGGCTCTGGGGGATTGAGCTGTGGGTTTGCTGCCCGACACTGATGAGAACCAGCTCTGACAGGTCTCTCTCCCAGGGACCCAGTGGCTGCCATCTGGATGTCTCCAGCCTCTCATCCAGTCCACTCTCGGAGTGACTCAGTCCCCAACTAAGTGAGTCTACTCTGGGCCTCAGAGGCTGAAGGGCCGGGGACCTGTTGGGGACAGCCAGCCACTGTCCTCCCAAGTCCACGGGGCCCAGAGTTCTCTCGTTAGGTAGACCTGAAGTGATTCGCTGGGATGGAGTCAACCCCAA